CTATTAGAAACCTTTGGATCAACACATTTTACAGCACTGGGTGAGTTTCCTTCAATCCTTAGCGAAAGAGGTTTTAAACACAAGTTTAAGCACTTAAAAAAAAAAATATTTTTTTCGGAATAAACAGCAAAAAGGTGATTAGAACGTGGATTCTGGAAAGTTACAAAAAGACTAAGCGTCCAGATGGATTTGAAATAAGGTTTTGGAATTAATTATAAGAATCCTTCCCGTTGGAAAATGCTTTTGTTTTGAATTCTCTTAAAAAAAAAAATGATAGGATGAGACTTTGAAGGTTGGAGACTAGAGGGAACCAGAAAAACCTAAAGATTACACTTAAAGGAGAAGAACACTCTAATTTGACTTATTAATACAGAATGAAGCAAAATATTTTAACATGGAACATATTGAAGGATATTTTTGAACAATGGATCCAGAAGTTAACTTTAAGAGTATCTGCCTCTATAGATAGTGTTTAAAAGATGCTGTGGAAGAGGAACAAGTTTTACCTGACAAGATCGAGAGTGACCTGAAAGTAGATTTAAAAATGACAGGCTACAAGAATGGTATGGAAAAAGATGTTACACTGGGCATAGAAAAGTAACCAGCCGATGTCTTAATAATTAAAAGGGATACACAAATAACAAACCAAGAGAGTGACCTGGATAATTTTCCTATATTGGATTTACAAAAGGGGCTTATTAAAGCTTTGAAGAATTTTGTGAGAAGAGACAAAGAAAAAAATGAAAAGAAATCAAATTCTAGGACATTATTTGAAGGGACTAAAGATCAAGATTGTTAGAAATAAAAGGAAGGAATATAAAATTAAAGCTTTGAAGAATTTTGTGAGAAGAGACAAAGAAAAAAATGAAAAGAAATCAAATTCTAGGACATTATTTGAAGGGACTAAAGATCAAGATTGTTAGAAATAAAAGGAAGGAATATAAAGTTGGTTTGTTTGATCAGGGTTAAAATAGATATGTTGTTATCTCTTTTGCTGTGGACTGAAAGTCCTTAATGGATTTTTGCTAATTAGGACTGATATGACAAGGCTTTAAGGATTTGTTTATAGATAAGAGATGGGATATGGGAAGAGATCATTAGTTGTATTTTAAGAGAAGGTGATAAGTTACTAAAATTGTTTATACTTGCGATAAAGGGGAAAGTCATCTCTTTATATATTTCTTTTCTTTTTCTTTACTATATTCTTCTTTTTCTTTCTTTTCTATTTTTCTATTTTTTTCCTTTTCTGCACTTTCTATTTTTCTTTTCTTTAGTTTGCATTAGTTTTTATTTTTGTAACTGTAATTTTTAATAAAATTACTGTTAAAAAAATCCACCTCCTTTTAATGTGCATTGTACACATCACACATATGTAAGAAGGAATGGGACTTTGCCTGGTCACACCTGCCATTTTTATACTTCTGACACACACACACATGTACACCTGATGGGTGGGAAGTATGTGTTCAAAATATTCAGCGATTACTGGAGATGGAAACTGGGAACAAGCTCAAGGTTAAAATATTTAATATGTATAAAATATCAAGAGTCTACTTTTCTGCAGTTAGAAAGTTCTTCCTACCCATCAGAACTATTGAGAAAACAGTATTTCAACCTTAGAGAAAGTCTTATTTTATATAAAATTTTCCAGAAGTCTTTGTGCAAACTCCTTTAAGCATTTCTATGGCTCACTATATACATGCATAATCTATATCTTATCAAACATATTTGCACTGATATAAAACCATGTTTTATAAATTGTGTTTCTACAAAGATACATTTTCTGGCTTTTGCTTTCAATCGTATAACATTTCACAAAATAGTCTCTGTTTCTCTCTCCATCTTCTCCTCTCTGTTTAAAATATTTTGGATTGAAGCCATAGCATATATGACAGGCCACTGCAGAAAGTAGAAACATATGGAATTTGGAGAATATCCTGTCAGAGATTTCACAAATACTGCCATGGAGAATCAACAAACTCGCTCATACTTTTTAATGGTAATACAGCATGGTGGAACAGCAATATGAACTCCACCCTGGCTCCATCAGATAAACAGTCTGCAAACAAATTAGATCTATCATATGCTAATTATCTGGAGGCCTGGCTTGGTAATACTTTGCCTTGCAAAGAGCAGTAGGTCCCACAAAAAAATCCAATTATTAGGGCAGATATCTCCATGGGGAAGGTGTTCATATTACTGTTCCATTGGTGCTATTCCACTGTTACCCCAAAGGGAATATATGGTCTAGGCCAGAGTTTATTCTTAGAGTGCTAGTAATAAATACACTGGATTCATATGAATTTTAAAAATCAAAAACAAATTCTAAATAGTATGGACATCTAACATTTCTATATATTTGATTTTCCAGCATGAGATAAAGGAACTTCTCCTTAGATGACTTAAATAGAAGAATTTCTGTAAAGAAAAAGACAACAACCCCAAACATCTACAACTGGAGAAAAAAGTTATACACACTCTTCTCTTAATTCCCAAATTAGTTATGTCACATGGTGCCATTTTTGTTGCCCATTCAGATTTGCTTCTTTACTTAGATATCTTAAAGAGATTCTGTAGTACAAATGAAGCCAGTCTAATCAGTGATAAAAACTCAATTTACTGAAAACAGAAAAGACAGTTCCCACTTTCTTTTCATGGCTTCATCACAGAATAAATTATGGGGTACAAGAGAGATTTGTTTCTGCTATTTGATTTGGGGCAAAAATGTGATTTGATGTAATATCTGAAATAACAGTTCAATATTCTGATGATGCAAGTAGCTCCTACCTGTTGTTTGTTGTTGGGTGTATATGGTAACATGGTGGAGACATGAAACATGATTTCATAGTCCTTATATGTTGTATAAAGAGAGTGGGTACCAGTTGAATCAGCTGCAAATAATTAATATAAAGAAAAAGCCTAATTTATTATTATTATAACTAACATGATCCACAACATTGTAAAGAAACATTTTAACCCAAGGACAAAATCCATTTAACTTTTATTCTAAATCAGAATAGAACAATAGAAGTACTACTTATTTTTAATATTATATATTTTATTTCATTATGTTTTTAATACATTATAAATTCTAAGGCTTGTCAGAAAAACCAGAAAGATATTCTAAAGTAGATACGCTAGAACCCATATAACGCAGATTTTAATGAAGGCTTCTGAAGTTTTTGCAGCACTTTTTCCTAGAATAAATA